ATATTATTTATGGTGTCCTTACTATATTTAAATAAAAATACGTTTTGCACTCAAGAGAATTGAACCCTCGACATCGTGGACAACAGTAGCACTAAAGCCAACTGAGCCATGCAGGCTTTATTATACAGTAAGATAAAGGTAACTATATACCACACCAGCACACGTGGCGTCATATGTGTGGCTGGAATGTCACCCACTTCGTTCCTTCCTTCCCCACCACCACCATCCACCATCCCTCACCACCGCCACAAACCACGGGCGCCCGCGACATCGACAACGACGACACGTGACAACACTGACAACACATGAGGACACACAACGTCGCCACCGACCACCCACGACCATTGACGAGCGCCCAGGAGGTGAAGACGACGTGGCAGGTGTGCCACGTCATCCAGACGGTGACGACGCATGCCATCGTCACTGTCCAAGCTGATCAGGTGAGTGCACCCACCCCCTTTCTTTCCGTCTCACACCACATCCAGGGGCCACGTCGCTGTCTGCGACGTGGCAACAATTCGACGACACGACACAACAACAACAGGGCACGACCACAACAGAACGACACCACTGGGGACGAGGACGGTGCCACGTCACGACGCAACCACGACCGCCCACCGACAAAGTTGAGTGCCCACCAACATCAACGACCGACCGCCCACAAAGGTGAACGACCCCCCACAAAGACAAGTGCCCATGACACGACAACAACCAAATCCGCCCACCCATGAATGACGCCCACCGCCCCACACGGCCCCACCGCCCACGAATGCCCACCCATGACAACGAATGCCCACGAGCGCCCACGACACGACAATGAATGCCCACGAATGCCCATGCATGACAATGAACGCCTACGCACGACAACGAACGCCCATGAGTGCAATGCGATGACGAACCAAACCACAACCCAGCCCCATGGACGCCAATACAGCACACCACCCACGACCGACGACCCAGAGCGCCCATGGACAGAGGATTCCGCTCGCGTGAACGGAAATGGGCAACGACGAGCCCAGGTGAGCTCCCCCCTCCCTCCATCACTCCACACCACCACCCCCTCCATTATTCCACCATTATTCCACACACCACTCCCTCTATCACTCCCCTCCATCTGTTGCTCCCCCTCCCTCTGTTGCTACCCCTCCCTGGGTTGCTCTCCCTCCCATTTCTCCCCCCCTTCATCACTCCCCCTCCTAT